TTGGGGTTTAAAAAGTTAATTTTAGTCTCTGAATGTAATGTCCGCAACGTGGAATCACCCAGTGCTCCAAGGTCAATTTTTTCAAGGCGACTTTAAGTTATAAAATGGTTGCCAGAGATAAAATATGTGTTGTCATTACAAAAAAACATGCTTGATGTAATTTTATACGAAGGATAATACTCATATGAGTTTTGGAGAAATAGACTAGAAGAAAAAACCTGCAGGCTTGATGTGGGGGCTTCAACCAAGTTGAATGCTTGACTGTCGAGATAGGAGATGTTAAACTGAAGGCATGAAGAATAGCAGTGGTAAGGCATAAATTGCTATGGTGAATACAAGGGAGAGGGATTTGACCACCCTTTCACAAAGTGAATAGCCTTGCTCCAACAAATGACAATGAGGGCATCCCAGGGAAAAAACCTAAAATCTGCTTTGGTGAGCTGCTTGCTTGAGTCAAACTTACTTGGGGATGTAGGAAGCAAGTGTGCCATAAAATGCCACAAGACATATTGCCCAAAAGAAGAAATCGAAGCTTAACATAAAATTGAAAGTAATATGTATAAGTAACAAAATGACAGCAGTAATAGGTAATTTTTGATCTGGTGGAGTGTTGGTATCTAAGGGCGCTTTTTTGGAAATATTTATAATCACAGGGGTGAAATCTGACATGATACTTTCCTTTGTTGACAGAAATGTTGCAATTTTCACAACCCAGCATGCAATAACGCATTATGAGATTCAAGTAAGTCTGGGCAAATTATAGCAAAATTCACTCACATTCTTCTTCCCCAAATTAAGTATGATTGTTTTGATATTTTTACTTAATCATTTCTATGGCTGTAAAAAGCCTTCCACAGACACATCAGATATATATGCACATAATTCACATGCAAATAATACTGTTGACACCAAAATGTTTAAGATTAGCTATCTCTCAAACCCTAACCCTTATCTAAACCATTATATCCTCTTCAAAAATATTTAGGGTTAAAGTCTAGCCTAGTTTCCATGTGATTGACAGTTCTTTTGCATAATCCCCGCAGGTCACAGTTACTGGCAAGGCTATATGATGTCCCAAGTTTGAGGGCGGGCCGCTAGATTCTTTTCAAGACATTGAGGGTTTTAATTCTAGCCCTGTTTAGATGTGCCTTCCATATCATTTACATAAATTAGTAGGCCCACCATATTGTAAGATTTTTAACAGTTCCAAAAACCAGTTATTTATTTATTTATTACTTAGATATTTAGAGCGTGGTTTCTTGTGTCTTCCTTGGCAGCTCATGAATGCTGATTTGTGCAGGTGTAAGGATGCCCTGTTTAATGCTTTTTCTCATTTGTGATGAAGAAATGTCAATGGGATGAAAATAGGGAATGGCATCTTGGTCGCTAGCAAAGACCTTTTCCATTAACTAACCCTTATCTAAACCATTATATCCTCTTCAAAAATATTTCTGAGTGGAGCGACTTGAGTGTAGTGCATGAAGCACATGTGGTCTGCTAACCGCGTGTGGTCTTAGCCATCTGCAAGATTCGATGCCCCTTAAATAAATAAATCGTTCTATGAATATATGTTTGGTGTCCGCCAATGGCGTCATGGAGCTTTTTGGGTTTCCAGGCAACATAAACTTTGCTGCCGATGACCAAGGCTCATTTTCATGTATTATGCATGAAAGGCTGTTATGTTTATTCATCGTTTGTGAAACAATATTTACCATTGGTGAATCACTAACAATTTCCCATGCAAATGACACACAAGCACAACAAGTGGCTCAAAACCCTCGCACAGGAAGAGTTTCCACCGAAACTCTTAGGGAGTGAGAATGCCAACTTCAAATTCAGCGTGAACAATGAGGGAGAAGAGGTCAACAGGAAACTGTGGAGCAGAGAGTACATCACATAGCACAGTGAAGGCAATGCTGACAACTAGAGACAGAGGAACAGAGGAACAGTAGACTGGAATCAGAGGCATTATGATCGTTTTACACTGTGGAAAACCCACATTTATTAGTTTGCCGGTGTCTCTGCCGATATAAGTTTCAGCCCTGTACTACAGCCCAAAGGGTAATAATTTTCATGCGAACTGCACTGCCACATTTGTGCTTTGTTTTTGTTTTTTTTTTTTAAATCCAGTTGCCGAAATGATACTAAATATGCTTTTCAATACACTTTTAACAATAACACCACACAATACACAAAAAAGAAGAAGAAGAAAACAAAGAACAACGTTTGGACCTTCACAACGATATTCATGTTAGGTCATCCATCCAGGTCTTAACCCTGACCGACAGGGATTAACTTTAGTGTCGTTACCAAACCAAGTTTCGCAAGGGTTATTGCGAGATACATATTTCTAGTTAGTGTTATGGTCTAGCCTCGTTTCTATGTGATTGACAGCTCTTTTGCATAATCCCCCCTGGTCACAGTGAGTGATAAGGCTATATGATGTACCAAGTTTGAGGGCGAGTCGTTAGATTCTTTTCAAGATATTGAGGGTTTTAATTCTAGCCCCGTTAAGATTTGCTTTCCATATTATTTACGTAAATTAGCAGGCCCACCATATTGTAAGATGTTTAGCAGTTCCAAAAACCAGTTATTTATTTATTATTTATATATTTAGAGTTTGGTGTCTTGTGTCTCCATTGGCAATTGATGAATACTGATTTGTGCAAGTGTAAGGAGGCCTTGTTTAAGGCTGATCTTGTTAGTTGTCTCTTCTTGTTCGTGTTCCGAATAATGAAATGTCAACAAGAGGAAAATAGTAAATGCCATCCTAGTCACCAGCCAAGGCCTTTTCCACCATCTTTTATTTCTTCTTTCATTCAGCGTTTTAGCACCTAATGCATAAGGAAATAACACTGTTGACACCAAAACATTTGGAATTGACTCTCTCTCTTACCTTAACCCTTATCAAAACCATTAAATCCTCTCCAAGATAGTTAGGGTTTAAGCCTAGCCTCGTTTCGATGTGATTGACAGCTCTAATGCATAATCCCCCAGGTCACAGTGACTGGCAAGGCTATATGATGTACCAAGTTTGAGGGCAAGCCGTTAAATTCTTTTCAAGACATTAAATTCTAGCGGCATTTAGATGTGCTTTGCATTTCATTTCCATAACTTAGTAGGTCCATCATTGTAAGATTTTTAGCAGTTCCGAAAACCACTTATTTATCTATTTATTAATTATATATTTAGAGTTGGTGTCTTGTGTCTTCATTGGCACCTCATGAAAGCTGAATTTTGCAAGTGTAGGGAGGCCCTGTTTAATGTTTTTCTCGTTTGGTGTCTCTTCTCGTTCATGTTTGAAATTGTGAGGCAATGTCAATAAGATGAAAATAGTACATGGCACCCTTGTCGCCAGCAAAGGCTTTTTCCACCATTTTCTGGTTTATTGTTTCGTTCAGCATGTTAGCTTGTAATGCATAAACAAATAAAACTGTTGTCACCAAAAACGCTTAAAATTAGCTCTTTCCTACCCTAACCCTTGTGTAAACCATTATATCCTCTTCAAAAAGTATTTAGGGTTAAAGTCTAGCCTCGTTTCTATGTGATTGACAGCTCTTTTGCATAATCCCCGTAGGTCACAGTGACTGGCAAGGCTATATGATGTACCAAGTTTGAGGGCGAGCTGTTAGGTTCTTTTCAAGACATTGAAGGTTTTAATTCTAGCCCCGTTTAGTTGTGCTTTCCATATCATCTATATAAATTCGTAGGTTGACCATATTGTAAGATTTTTAGCAGTTCCAAAAACCATTTATTTATTTATTTATTTATTTATTATTTATATATTTAGAGCTGATGTCTTGTGTCTTCATTGGAAGCTCATGAATGATGATTTGTGCAAGTGTAAGGAGGCCTTGTTTAACGCTTATCTCGTTTGTGGTCTCTTCTTGTTCTCTTTTTGAATCATGATCTTCAAGTAAAGAAATTTCAACTGTTCTGCTTTCCTTTAAGGTATCAGGAATGGATTCCACCGATTTGCAGTGGCCTGTTCTCCCAAATTAGTTTTTTCCCTAATTCAAATGAAATTAAGGTCTTCTCTGTGGCTGTATACTGCATAAAATTGCTGCATGTGTAGAGCGCCTCTGGCTGCATCCAGCTCAGCAATTTCTAGATTGGCTTTAAGTTCACTGTTTATCCAGCCCAAACTTTTATGTACTTTTTCCAAAGGGGTTGGCATATGATTTTCGAAGAAAATTTCACATTTCGTCTTCCTGTGTATGGTAAAATTATAGCTGGAAATGATGTTTGTACTTGAGCTTGTCAAAAACCTTTGTAAGCCAGTCGCATTCTCCTGAGAAAAGGGACCAGTCGGATGACAATCAGTAGGCGCTGTAAAGCCTATCATTTTCGGTTTAAATTTCCAGTTTCCACTCTACTTACTTGATTCGAGGCTGAGGCTTTCTGAGCATACTGTATACGAGTTGCCTAGATTTTTTTTATGCACAGAAGAAAGCAATGATCATATGGTTTCCTCATGTTGATATTGAAGAACAATGAACTGCTTTATCAACCAAATCCACTATTTCCAGGACTGCGTTACTTTACCTAAAGTCCTCCAAATCTTCATTTGTCAATCTATGATCACATGTCTTTAATATCTTCTCGGTTGTTTGTGGATAAGTGTCGATGCCACTCATTTTGCGCCAGGCTGAGATTAATTCCTTGATGTTCTTCACTATGGTGATGGCCTCAGGGCCGAGGGAAGGTACTTCATCTGTCCTCACTCTCTGTTTGGTGACAAATTTTAGGAATAGATTTTGTCCAGAGATAAATAAACGAGGAATGAACACTCCCCGACCATCTTGTTTCGAGCTTCTTATCCAACCACTCTGTCTAAACCATCTGTTCCTCATCTTCTGGCAGTACTTCTATATCTTTCCCTTTAGGATGTACTTCCAATATTTTTCGCAAGTGTGTGGCATCTGTAGACGATTTCTTGCTCTCTTTCTATCAGGGTGCTGAGGTAATTATAGAACAGGCACAGCCAAGTTGGACTGTTGAGTAATCAATAGTCCCTTGGTCTTCTGGTTCTTTGGATTCTTCATCATTTATGTCTTCACCATCCACATCTTCCTCGTGCATTTTTGCAGTCAATGAATTGAAATGACTTATTAGCTTAAAGGTTATGGACAGGGCGAAAAAAAGATGCAAATTAAATTTTGGGTCAAAATTAAAAACTTCTTTTAACTTTGTGAATGGTCAAACTGGACCTGGCAGTAGTTTCTGGCAATGTTTTAGATTGGTTTGAAGGCCTTTGAAATTATTTGAGTCTATTGATGGTGGCTCTTCCTTTTATTGCGTAGAATACAAGTTTGTGACTGGTCAAATTGGACTGAAAATGTTAAGATCTTGAAAGAATAAGAACAAACAATTTGCATATGACAAATGTTAACAGTTTATTTATGTCAATTAACAGTTTTAAAGCAGCTTATTTAATTAACTTTTCAATCTTCATCGATTTCAGATGGTGAGCATTTAAGTAGAAATTGTATGTCTTCATTATTGCTTGGGCTTTTTACCTCTTCATCCTCGTTTACATCTTGTTGTTTAATACCTTTCACCTCCACATCCTCTGTCAATGCTTTTCACCACCTCGTCTTCCTTCTCTTCAGATATTTCTATCACTTCCTTTCCCTCTTCATCAGTACTCTTCACCTCCTCCCCTTCCCCAGTTCTTTCTATGTCTTCTTCTTCCTCCTCCTTCTCACCATCTTTGGTGCTTTCCACCACCTCCTTATTATCATCAGCAGCAGCGGTGCTTTCCACTACCACCTCCTCTTCTCAAAGGTTGGGACTGGGGAAGTCTCTCGCCAGATCATCCTGGGCATTATTTCACACTGTCTCTGCCAACGTGGAACCAATACTTTTAAGTATGGAGACCTCATGGAGTGCCAGATGCGGCCTAATGCAATCTTCCATAAGACATTTTAATTGATCAGAACAACTTAGAAAGAATACAAATGATGCATGATTTAGTTACCTGAAGCTTTTCTGCCTGACACCAAAATACATTGCCACTGACTTTATGATGACTGCTGGGATTGCAAGGATTGTTACCCCCTCTTCTGGGGTGTATTTGGCAAGTGTTGTCACTTTTCATGTAATAACAAAGGGATGATCAATTGGTTTTCTGGTTCCCCCTTAAGTACAGTAAGAGTGTTGCTCTGAGACTTGATAGGTGGTACCAAAAGCCTTTCAGAGGGTCTCACCAATCCACCACCTTGGTTCACTGTCACCAGGGTCTTTGTACAACAGTTTCTTCGATGAGCGCCATCACACTTCTCCTGGTAACAGACAGTAACAATCCAATCCAATCCTAATGTTAGTGATGGTTATGCATAAATCTGGAAAAAACTTGTTTTCCTCCAAAGTTCAGGAAGCTGTTTAGCAATTTTTCACCCTGTGAAGGTTTTGCTGTCGTTTTGTTTTCACATAGATTTCTCAAACTCATTAATAATTCATAAGAAAATACGGACGAAATTAATGTTTAATGAGTGTTTAGAAATCATGAAAAACTGCTCATTTTTGCATACTAAATTTCTCCATCTTTGAGAAGCAGTATCAAGCATTCAACGAAGTGTTTCCTCACCAGATGAAACACCTCGAAGTTCGTCAAAAATACTTTGCTCTGCATCATATTTTCAACCCTCTACTCAGTGTTTCATCTGTGGATGAAACACTGCGTCCCATGCTTGATATATTACAGCTAAGAGATTTTCAAAGATTTTGTAAGAACAAGCATTGCTGGACCAACAATCTGTCTCTTCTTGGCACTAGAATTACGTAGTGACCACGTTTTATTTCTGCACATGGTGTGGTAATCTTGAAGTAATCAGTGCTCTAAGGGACAGTGAGCAGACAATCCTTTTTCTCTAAAATCTCGCATTCGCTCACAACAGACCACTCTGAGGACATCTGAAATAGCGTGTGGGTATTCTGATCATGCTCTAAATAAAACGGTTTGATATCTCTATCAGTCAAATGGTTGTCACATTCATCGAGGATATGCTGTGTTCATTGTGGGCACTGATCAATATTAACGATATTTCTCCAACCTTTAGGCTTTTGTATTACATTGCGAAAAACTCTCTTGGCGTAATTTTATATTGCGAGGAGTGCAGATCATATGCGTTTTTCATTGACAATGGTTAGGAAACTTTCATGTTCCTGGTGGGCCCTGATGGTACCTGTTTTTTGAACATTTACCTTAATGTCTGCCCAGTCCATCCATAGAATGTATCTGTTTTCAGTTGGTAATACCTCGATTTCAATGCACATGGATTTGGATCTTCCAGTATCGTTCTTCTGTGGGATGCGTGTTGTTGACGGTTTTGATCCTTTTACGGCTAGAATCAGGTTGGCTGAGGCTGCTGTAGAAGGCTGTAAGCCATTTCTGACTATTGGTTGCTGGTGTTGGACAGGTGAAATGATCTTCTTGTGAGGCAAACTCGTCTTCTTGATGTTTTTCCTGATGGTACATTGCATGTGGGTGAAAGAGGT